ATTACAAGTAACTAACCCTAAACCAAACCCGGTAACACCTTATTTTAGTATCCTTATCATATGTTACATGCACTTACTTTAGTAATAACGTTAAATTATGCATAATTACAAGTAACTAACCCTAAACCAAACCCGGTAACACCTTATTTTAGTATCCTTATCATATGTTACATGCACTTACTTTAGTAATAACGTTAAATTATGCATAATTACAAGTAACTAACCCTAAACCAAACCCGGTAACACCTTATTTTAGTATCCTTATCATATGTTACATGCACTTACTTTAGTAATAACGTTAAATTATGCATAATTACAAGTAACTAACCCTAAACCAAACCCGGTAACACCTTATTTTAGTATCCTTATCATATGTTACATGCACTTACTTTAGTAATAACGTTAAATTATGCATAATTACAAGTAACTAACCCTAAACCAAACCCGGTAACACCTTATTTTAGTATCCTTATCATATGTTACATGCACTTACTTTAGTAATAACGTTAAATTATGCATAATTACAAGTAACTAACCCTAAACCAAACCCGGTAACACCTTATTTTAGTATCCTTATCATATGTTACATGCACTTACTTTAGTAATAACGTTAAATTATGCATAATTACAAGTAACTAACCCTAAACCAAACCCGGTAACACCTTATTTTAGTGTCCTTGTTACACGTTACATGTATTTACTGTAGTAATAACGTTAAATGATGCATAATTACAAGTAACTAACCCTAAACCAAACCCGGTAACACCTGATTTTAGTATCCTTATCATGTGTTACATGCACTTACTGTAATAATAACAGTAAATTATGCACAATTACAAGCAATTAACCCTAAAACAAACCCGGTAACACTTTATTTTAGTGTACTTATCACATGTTACATGTAAACCAGCTAATGCACATGCATCATGTTTCAATTTGTATGAGCAGGAAAAAGGTGGATTTAAGATGGCCGTCACTAGTGGTATGAGAGAGGCGGGCAGAATAAGAGCTCTTGAACGAGATTATTGAGTTGCTGTGTAAGCGTGACCAGCCTCAATGTTGTGGAGGGGAGTTAATACTGTTTTAAGTACTTGCCAGTTCTGGTTTCAGACTGTTTTTATTAATAATCTTTGTTTTAAGCTCTTAAACATGTTTATTTGCACATTTTGCACTTCTGCTCGAAATAAACACCATTTTGAATGCGAACTTTGCTCCCGTGATTTTGATCCTCCTTGTGACTGCTATGGTCTTTATCACAACACCGTTAAATACAGCGTAACCCCAAACCCTAACCTTAACCCTATAGTAAGTATATGTAGTTAATTAATATTTCTACAATCTCACCTTAAAATAAAGTGTAATACAAAAATTAACTGCATATTATTTTTTTTTTCAGTCAATATCATGAATCCATCTTGCATTTCAAACCCACAAACTCCATTCCACTTTTCACAAACCAGTCAATTCCCACTCAACGTTTTCTAGATTAATATCTTATACACCAGATTTTGGAAGTAAAATAGGTCGAGCAAAGCATTTATGTTGACTTTGAGTCTTTTGTTTCCTATCTTGTTTCAAGTGGAAGCAATCAAGACAAAGTGGAAATGCTCCACTTGAAAATAGCATTTGTGATTTCCTCATTTTTAGTTGTGAAATGCAAATTATGAATGTTCCAAATTAGCCAAAACATTACAAAGTTAAATGAAAGAAAATTAGCATTATCAGATTTGTTTCTTCAGCTTATCTATAAACAAAAAATATTATATATTGAACTGCCTCAGAATTATAGTTGATGATTCCCTTAAAAGGAAACTAGCAGATCCAAATCAAGATGCAACAAGAGTTGAAGAAAATCAGGGATAATCATTGAGCAAAGAAAAAAGAGATCATTGGCCTATCAGAGCTGTGAGAAAAGTGACCCTGTGACCTCGCAGAACATGCCACATTCACGAGCACCTCGAGGGGCTTTCCAGCAAGATGCACCGCGGACAAACACAGACAAACACATGGAAAGGAATCATCTGATTTTCAATGAACCGCACAGAAAGGTGTGATTGGGGCCGCTTTAGGAAAGGGAGGAGCAAGGCAATACAAGGGGGAGGAGTCTGAGGGAAAGACTAAAGCCTGATTGGTGGGAGACGAGCCCCGCCCCGAGGATGCAGAGACATACCGCAGAGTCAGAGGCCGTGGGCACCTCGGGGAATGGCTGGCTAGGAGGTTTGTTGAGAAGAGACTCCTGATGGAAAGAAAGGGTGAGATGGGACTAGACAAACACACACACACACACACACACACACACACACACGCCATATGCAGGACAGTGAGACACACACACACACAAACAGAGACAGACATATGAGAAACATGCCACACAGAGAGGTTAGAAGTCAATTTACACAAATGTGACCCTGGACCACAAATATATCATAAAAGATCATAAGGGTCAATTTTTCGAAATTGAGATTTATACATCATCTGAAAGGTGAATAAATAAGCTTTCCATTGATGTATGGTTTGTAATATAGGACAATATTTGGCCGAGATACAACTATTTGAAAATCTGGAATCTGAGGGTGCAAAAAAATCAAAATATTGATAAAATCACCTTTAAATCTGTCCAAATTAAGTTCTTAGCAATGCATATTACTAATCAAAAATTAAGTTTTAATATATTTACAGTAGGAAATT